GGAGCTGAGAAGGAGCACAAGCAGAGGAAACATTTACATTCAGACAGATGCTTGAAGTACATTGGCGGAACTGTTCTGGCCAGTACTCAACAACAGCCTTAGAAATTCCTCAAATCTATCACCTTAATTTACCAACCTAGGAAAACCCACTCTCTGCGAAAGATGTAGTAACATATCCTACCCCTTAATGAAGGAACTGCCTGCCCACCCCACGTGGGACAGCGTGGGACACAGGCTGGGATTGAGTTCACTTTCCTCATAGCAGCCGGTACAGTGCCGTATTTTGGATTTGTGGTTTAAAAAAACAAAGGGTTGATAACATAGCAGTGTTTTGGCTGTTGCTGAACAGTGCTGGCACGGTGTCAAGGCCTTCTCTTTTCTCCCCCTCTCCCCCCTCCAAGGAAATAATCTCGGGCATGGACCCCTGGGCAAAGGGATATTGCATACAGTCTAACATCATGCTCAGCAAGAAAAACTGGCATACAGGAGGAAAGGGAGGGGGGGTTGGCTTCCAAGGTGGCCATCGCTCGGAGACTTGCCTGGCATCAGTCTGCTGATGGGAGGCGGTGAGCGACTGTCTTTGCGCCGCTTGTTAACACACTGTTCTCTCCCTCATCTCACTGCGGGTAGATATTTCTGAAATGCAGCTCGTGTAGATGTTTCTGAAATGCAAGAACTGGGAGTTTTACAGGGTGGTGGTAAAGCACTGGGTGTTCTTGACTCCTGCATGGCTAGCTGAGGTCGTGAACTCTGATCCCAACAGCTGGGCCAGCCCAAGATGAGGTGGAGCGCATAGCAGAGCATTCTGAGCACCAAGAGCCCCCCCAAGAAACACTTGAGCACCAAGTGACAAGCAGGCAGCCTGAGACCTCCTGCAAACTGGAGGAAGACTCTTTGGTGTGTAAATCACCACCTGCTGATGGGGGAGAGGAGACGCTGTCGGATTTAGCTGGCCCCAGATCAGAGAAGAAGGTTCCCCAGGAAACTGAAGTATCAGTAGAAGAATCTGGGAAGACAAGAGATGGTGTCTCAGGAAGACCCCAGGAAGAAGACAGCTTGGATGGAGGTGAGTCTTTCCCCTTCTGTTTGTACAGCATTTCCAAAATGCTGAGAACCTGGGCCTTTGCTTAGAGGAGGCAGAGCAGGAGAAAAGGTTGTTGGTTCTTGTGCTGTAACAGACTAAGTGTAGGTCTGCGAATTTTATTCCCTACAGCCAGGCTGGCCCACGATGAAACAGATAGCAAAGGAGACAGCCTTGTCCACCTCGAAATACGGGAGGACCAGAAGACAAGCAAGCAACGGGAAAGCTCCAACACAGCAGAGGAAGACGCTTCATCAAGAAGCAAGTCACTGAGCTCTGACACTAAAATGACACATTTGGATGTGACTGCCACAGAAGATGTCACCAAGGGCCTCTTGGCAGATGTCACCAGTGCCCCTCTCCAAGATCGGGAGCCAGAAGAGCCTACAGAGCAAGAAACACAGGAGAGCAGATCCCAGGGCACATTAAGGAACAGACATGGGACCAAAGGTGAGCTGGTGGCTGCACACTGCTGCTCTTCCACCGTGCACATGCCTACACTTTCCACAGGAATCAGAAAAATGGTATGGCGAGCTCTCTAGTGCCCACTGTCAGTTTTCTGGAGTTGAGCGGGAAAGAAGGTATAAGAAATTACCTGGCTTCTCTCTTTCTCTCTGCTTTGGCTACTGTCCTGCTTTGAAAGGCATGAAACCACGCTGCGCTCTGCATCATCTTTCTCCTTCCGCTGCCCCAAAAGGGAGGGGAGCCAAGACTCAAAGCAGTATTAACCCAAAGCAGTGTTCGCTTCCAACTGTCTGCCTCAGCTGGGAGCTCCTGGCAGCTCTGTTGCTTTTCTCACCACAGCCCAACTTACCTGTTCCCTGAACGATGAGTGGCACATTTCTTTTTCTTGCTCTAGTGCACACAGCCCCAAAGCCAGAGGCTCAGTCCTGCTTGCAGAAACCCACCGAAAACACAGACCAGGAGAAGGCCAAAAAGTTCCTCTTGCTGACAGGTGAGGAAAAGAAGCTTCCCTTGTGCGTTACTCCTCGACCAGAAGGCACTGATCCTCCAGGAACAAGTAATGAAGCACATTTAATTCTTCTTCTCTCTCGGGACCTTTCACAGCCTTTTCTGAGGGTTCGGGGGAAAAACCATCCCTTAAGAATAGGCTCAGTTTGAGCAGCTTTCCCTCCAGCTCCCCAGCCCCAAAAGCAGGCACATGGTGTTCAGCATGCCAGGAGTACCCTGGCACGTCCTGGGAGGTCTGAAGCTCCTACACTGATGGTCCCCCTTCCCAGGCCCCCTCAGTCTCATCCTCCTTTTCTGGGCAGAAGCGTGGCAGCCTTTGTTCACCTGGCATAGCTAGGAGGAAGGCAGAGAACAGGACACCTTAGCTGGGTCAGATGCCTCCATATGCAGGTGCTCCGAACGGCCACAAACCACAAAGAAAACAGAGCAGAGGGAAGAGGAGAAAGCTTGTGGCCAGCTGCAATTTCCTCAGGAAATTTTGCACTGCAACAACAAAGCTGTAGCCTTGCCTCAGTCGATGGAGCTGTAGTCCTCCCCGGCTGGCGTGTACCAGCGTGGGTCTCACAACATGGAGCAAGCAGCCTCTTCACCATTCCTGGGCCCCCAGAGAGCGTGTCAATGTGAAACACTTTCCTGGGGTAGTGGGGAAGGTCTAGGAGGGGAAAAAGAGCCCTTGTAGCTACTCTCCAGCACGTCGGTGCAGGTCACTTGGGACTGACTTGTGTTCTCCTTCTCGGGTCTCTCCCCTGTTGAACAGGGCTTGTCATAAGCCTCGTATTGGTCGGCTTCTGCATATTCTGTTTCGGCAACCCGAGCTCCAACTCCCAGCAAGCCCCCAAGAACCCCATGGTGGAGGCGTTCCTGTCCCAGTTCAGCCAGCTGCAGGACAGGTTTCCAGGGCAGAGTCCCCAGCTGTGGCTTCGCGGGCGCAAGTTCCTGCAGAAGCACCTCAACGCGTCCTATCACACGCAGCCGGCCATCATCATCTTCACGGCTGCCCGCAAGGGCGAGCAGACCTTGCGATGCCTTAGCGCCCACGTGGCCGACACCTACTCGGCTGCCCTGCATGCCAGCACGGTCCAGATCGATGGCACAGATAAATCCAGGCTCCAGAGTGACCAGGCCAAGCTGGAGGTGGACTCAGAGCTGAGCTCAGCTTTCGAGGCTGGGGACCGTGCTGCAGTGATACACCGCTTCGAGTTGCTGCCAGCGGGGGCTACCCTCATCTTCTACAAGTACTGCGATCACGAAAGTGCTGCTTTCAAGGACGTGGCCCTGCTGCTGACCGTGCTGCTGGAGGAGGAGACGCTGGAGACCCACATCAGCCTCCAGCAGGTGGAAGAGAGGGTCCGCGACTTCCTCTGGGCCAAGTTCACCAACACCAGGACTCCCAGCTCCTACGACCACATGGACTCCGACAAGCTGAGTGGGCTGTGGAGCCGCATCTCCCACCTGGTCCTACCGATCCACCCGGTGCAGGCCATCGAGAAGGGGGGCTGCCACGTCCACACCAAACCCTAGGGGCAAAGGGTGCCAGAGCCCCGGGAAGGGTTGGAAAGACGGTTCTGGCTGACTCTGGTGCAGGCAGAGGCATGACCAGTGCTATTTCTCTTCAGTTTGTTTCTCGTATCTTCCTGGGAAGAGTTTGACAGGTGGAACTTGATCCAGGCCATTTGGCCAGCTGAGTCCTGGAGGCAATGGATCACACGCTTCCTTCTGGCAGATGGGAAGAGCAGATATTTAGGCTCCTAATTGCACAGAACATCGCAGTGTGGGGAGGCGAGAAGGAGAACGGGACTTTGCAGGTAGCATTTCTATCACGAAATACACAACTAACGTACACAACTAGCAGGCCAGAAAGGTACTTCAGTTCAGTAGCTCTTTCATTTCTCCCTGCCCCTCCATTTGCTAGTGTTGTGCACATCAGTCTCACAATGTACTTTATCTAGAAGGTTTCCCTCTCTTTGCAGAGAGCCGCTGGAACACAGGAAGGTCAAATTCCGCAAAGCCCAACATTTTGAAGGCATGCTTCAAAAAGAAAATCTGTCTGCTAGTCAAGGGTTTGACCAGTCAGTCCTGACAGAGTCCCACTTGCACAGACTGATGCCCAGCAAAGACCAGACCCTAAATATAGGATGTTCAAACAAACCTGCAATTCAGAAATCCCCTAATCATCAATTCCGGGAAATTTCAGGTTGTCAGCACTTAAACACTGCTCTAAAGGGGGGATCCCATGAGGGCATCCCACGTGCCAGAGAATAAGCTCCAAAACCAGAGAGCAATGAAACAGAAACCACCTCGCTGTCACTCCGATAGAGTGAAGCCTGAAGGGATTGCACCGGTGAAAGAACAAGTAATGCGGTTGAACTTCATGCTACCTCTTAAAAAGAAAAAAAGTCCACGCTTGATCCCTTTGCCACTGCAAGGCTATGACTGTCTCATAGGGCTGACGCATCAGCGTTGTTCCTATACCACAGACTGCTCTTCTCCTGGGTCTCTGATGTGTCCCTAGGGCAGAGAGCTGCCCGCCTGCGTCTCCCCAGCTAAATTTCATTGATGAATGTATATGTTAACATTGATATTCATTTCAAACCACGCAGGGTAGCCCACCAGTTGCTTGCCCTCCAAAGGTACATTTGCCTCCCTGCTAGGCAGCCGATGCTCTGGCATACGCTAAAGCAACTAGGAGTTGAGCTGGGATTAGCTGGTGAAGACAAGATCTCTGGCGTTAACACTAAAAATCCTCAACGAAGCAGGCTGGTTTCTTACTGTGCCTCCTCTTCTGCATCCCGGGAGAAGAAATCCGAGTCCTGGAACCACTGTGGTGCCCCTGCGCGCTGTGTTTCTGCAGATACTTGGGGCAGAGGAGCCAGCTCGGGGAACGCCGAGGTGTTAGGTGCAGGTTCCAGCATTTATAATAACCCAACGGTCAGCCCCACGTGCCAGCCCCTCGTGCCTACAGAGCTGCCTGCCGGAGAAGGAGCAGCTGTAGCAGAATACGGCTTGTTTCTGTATAAGCAGCACAGACTGGGGCCTCGCAGAGCCAGGCTTTGTGTCCAAACAAGACACACGTTAAGAACACTACGGTGTTTTCACAAGCAGCTCATTCGAGCGCTCCTAACAGCAACTAGACCCGGATCTCCTGCCAATGGTGCCTTGCTGATCTGCCCCACCGACGCACCGCCCTGCACCCGAAAACCACAGCCTGTCTCTTCTTCCCTACTGCTGCGTGCCTTGTCCTGTCTCAGGAGATTTGTGGCCATGAACTTGGAGGAGGAGAGAAAATGAAGGAAGAGGAGGGGGTCATGTGCTCAAATTCTAACCAAAAAAGAGACTTTTTGTTTGCCTGGGGACATGAAGGCAAGACTGCAGGCGTTCTAACCGCGACAAACGTGAGAACTACCTGCTGGAGCTCAGCATCAGCAGGGCAGCCCAGAGCATGGTTTTGTACCAGGTACGGGTTGCTTCCATCCCTCCCTCCTTTGTATTACTGTACACTACCTTTGGAACAGAAAACACTGTTTCTGCTCTGCACGGTTCAGTATGGGTCTTGCTGTAAGAACCAGCAGAGCGTTAATCAATGTCAATGTTAAAATACAGAATTCCATAAAGACATTACCTCGCTCTCAATTTTATGTACTGTATTTGTAATGCATTGTAATGTAAGCCAAGGTATGCAAGGGCAATTTCACGCCACTTGGGCACACCACCGTAAGCGTCATCCGCCCCAGCTGTCCTAATACAGAGATATTTTTATGACAAAATATCTGCTTGCTTCTGAAACAAGACTTCTATTTAAAAATAAATAATGAGATGGTGAAAGAAACCAGGACTCTCTGAAGTGGGACTGGAGTCTTACTGTATTCTGTTTTTTTCTCTAGCTGTTTTCAGTTCATTAAGCAAAAGAGATCATCATATTGGACAAAGTTCTATTTAGGTCAGGGCTGTAGTTGTGCAAGAGAAGTGAATATTTGCTTTTTCTGGAAAAAAAACCAAACAACTTTTTTCCTTAATTGTTTGGTACAAACATTCACAGCTTTTTCAGCTAAGTGCGAAACTCAAAACAACCCCCCAAAGAGCTGCTGAAATCAGCCCAGACTGAAACATACTGAGGTTTGCGTAATACTTAATGATAATAATTAAACTGAAATCCACTGACAACTGAAATATTTTAGAAATACAGAAGGCAAATATTTCCCATTTCAACACCCTTGATCAGATCAGTTCCACTCAATATCACACCATCTCAGCACACAAAAATTTTCACATTTGTGGTGAATTATTTTGCCCCACTCTGGCCTAAACAGCTGAAAAAAAGAGGATTTACCATGTTATTCTGGTGCACCCGCGGCAGCTCCGGGGGAACCAAAGCTCTCCCTTCCTACCAACTCTCCGACAGCTGCGACAGGTGAGACTAAGACCAGGATGGAACAGGACACAGTCCAGCTCTGCACCCTCTGGGGTAAATGAATTTATTCCTCCTGGGCACCACATCCACCTGTGCTAGGGACAGTTCATCCCTTCGACTGCCCCCCCACACCTAGTTCATAACCTCTGCGGGAGCATCTCTTCCTGCACATACATGCCTTGCCCAAGCACAGCAAGGCCATGGGTTTAGCTGAAACTTATGAATTGCCTGGTGTTATGTTAATGCTAACACTAAATTCCGTTTCAATTTCTCATCTACAAAAAAAATTAAAATTTATTCTTATTTTTCTTGGCCTGTTCAACAACGCATCCCCCTCCCCAGCTATGTTTCCCCTTTTTTCTCCAGTCCCACTCTCTGCGGCAGTAGCTCTGCAGCGAAGGATGTGCTGCCACAGGGCGCTCAACGACCCTAAAAATTACCTTGAAAATTACGTAGCAGCTCAACTAAGGGGCAAAACCCGTTCTGGAAGGCCAGTCTGGACTGCTCCACTACAAAATTAGCGCTGATGATACGTGCGAGCACGCGAGCTGACATAAAGTCGTCATCCCCAGCTCTTAAAGGCGAGCGGCCCAGCCAGCGCTGCACAGGCTTGTTTCTCCTGGTGAGCCTCAACCTCTGGGAGCTCGTCCGCAGCTTAACCCTCCCACAGCTCCACGCACGGGCAGGCCCCGCTGCCACTGGGCTGCTCCCTTGGGGCTCATTTCAGGCCTACAGAACCTCCATTGTTTGAGAGATTTGCAGATACTGGGAGCTTAAAACTTGCCTTATCTCCCCGCTTCGCCTCTCCAAGGGAAGCAGCTGTACGATGAACCGCACGAAGGAGCTTGGCCTCAGCCTGTGGGACACGGACCCAAGAGCCTGCAATGAAAAGGATCGAAGAATACAGCATGCAACTGTGTTCCTGGCACAGGGAGGGGGCAAAGCCGTACGCAGACCTCTTGCTGGCCTCTTCCCACTTTGGCTGGACTGCACAGCTATGCCCTGTCCGGACTGCACAGCTATGCCCAGTCCAAGGAGAGGGCTCTGCAGATCCCTCGCGAGGGCACTCGAGAGCTGAGGATCGTCTCGGAGCCAAAGCAGAGGCAGCAGCATGTTTCAACACGAGCGATGGAAACGGCCTCCCCGCACCACGCATCCTTTGAGGTCTGCTCCATCCTCTGCCCCAGCAGCCCAGGGGCCAGGAAGGGGCATCTGTGCTGGGGCAAGCACCAGGTAAAGCCAACTGAGTTCCTGGGACTGTTCAGCCAGAGAGATGCACTAAAAACACAGCGCGACGTCCTGCAAGGCTGCTGTCAAAGACAGGCTCCCACCAGCAACTTGGTCAACAGGAGAACACACACAGAGAGAAATAAAGAGGTGTCCAAAGACCCTTACACTCCAGGCCAGTCTCTCACATGAATTTTTCTGAACTCTCAACCTCTATAATTACGATCCCAGGACTTTTCCTGTGAGTTGTGAGCAGAATAAATCTCTTCAGGTCATGTTAGAGGATGGTCTACTCCAGTCCTGCAGGACCTGCTGCAACAGCAGCCACAAACACCGGTCCTGGTCCTCCTCCCCAGAGCCAGTGCCCTTTGATTGCCCTCCTGGCTATGCTTGGAAGCTTTTTGGAGATACAGTTAGCTGATGAAACCCAATTCAATGAAACAAGTGGCTGAAATCCCAGGCAGCTTCCAGAGGGCAGGGGATGGGTGCGAATCAGTCCCCCTCAGCAGCCCATGTGCCCGAACATGGCTGGCACCGACGATGAAAGGCACTGGCTGGCCCCAGCTCCATTCTGGTTATGGAGGGACTGTTAGGATGAAACCATGTGGCTTTGGTGCTTGGAAGCTAATAAAGAAGAAATCCTCAACCTTTGTGAATCTTTTAAACATCCCCTGGCAGTATTGCAGACCTGCTTTTCTGTGAACAGGGCACATGCAACTGGGAAACAACTGGGCAAAAGGCCCTTGTCGTGGTAAGGCTGAATGCAAAACTGCAAAGGGCTGCTGCATGTGCAGAGCTCAGCCTGCTCACATGTAATACAGACCACAGCAGAAACGGCTGGCCCAGGTAGAAAGTGGCAACTTGACTTTATGGTCTAAATAAAGAC